TGGTGGCTCAGCACGCACGTCTGCTCGGTGAACCGCTGCGGGTCTCCCGGCACTGCCGGGAACAAGGCCGCCCCGCGGGAGGACACGCTCCTGCCGTCCTGGGAGACCTCCAGGCTGGGGTGTGCTGAGGCCGAATCCAGGGTCACGTTCACTGCGCAGAGGCTCTGAGTCAGGGCCCCGCAGGGTGCCCTACCTGTCTCCTCCCAACTGGCCATCCTCTATTTTTGGAGCAATTGGTAGAATATTCACCCCCACCGTCACCCCAAACACTCGGAGACTGAAGTGGCCTGCAGGCACCCGGGGCATTTGAATGTGATAAGAGGAATCCTATTTCTTTCCTGACCTGGAAGGTTCCTGAATTCTATACCGGTGCCAGTGCCTGGTGCCGTGCCTTGGAGAGGAGAGACAGCAACGAGGCAGGCTCCTGGGGATGGGGAGCTCACTGCCCTCAAGTCCTGGTCCAGGGGAGGGAGCCTAGGGCTGGGCTAGTCCCACTGTCTCACCATCAGTGTGGCCGAGAGAGAGCATCACTGAGCTCTGAGCCTGTTGTGTGTGTGTGTGTGTGTGTGTGTGTGTTTGCCTCAGTTTTACAGCAATTTAAGGATTTTATTATTTATTTTTTAAATATGTTTTATTGATTTTTTACAGAGAGGAAGGGAGAGGGATAGAGAGTTAGAAACATCGATGAGAGAGAAACATCAACCAGCTGCATCCTGCACACTCCCTACTGGGGATGTGCCCGCAACCAAGGTACATGCCCTTGACCAGAATCGAACCTGGGACCTTTCAGTCCACAGGCTGACGCTCTATCCACTGAGCCAAACCAGTTAGGGCACAAGTTTAGGATTTTAAAGCTGCAGGGGACCTCTGAGATGATCTAGTCCAGTGCCCTGGCATCACCATAGCTGCCAGAACACACCCATTTGATGGATGGGAACCCAAAGGCTCCCTTCCGTCAGACCATGTGAAAGGCTCCTTACAGCTCTGCATTGGCTCCTGCAAACAGCCTCCTGCAGATGGAAAGACCCAGTAAAAACAAGAAAGATCCCTAGGTGGTTTGCTCAGTGGTTAGAGTGTGGGCCCCACACACTGAAGGGCTGGTTGTGGGTTGGATTCCAGTCAAGGGCACATACCTCAGTTGCAGGCTTGATCCCCGGCCCAGGTCAGGGCACAAGCAGGAGGCAACCAATTAGCAATTGAGGTGTCTCTCCCACATCATGTTTCTCTCTGTCTCTCCCTCTCCCTTCCACTCTCAATGAAAATCAATGGGAAAAAATATCCTCTGGTGAGGATTAACAAGACCAAGAAAGATATATGCTTGTGGGGGTATGTATGTGCACACCAATGTATACCTGTGTGAGCTAATCACATCTATGCATGCAAGCATGCATGTGTGCATATGTGCATATGCAGGCATGTGGGCCGTGTTATGTCTGTGCAAGTGGACTTGTGTGTGTGTGTGTGCAGGCTCATACGTGTGTGTGTGTGTGTGTGTGTGTGTGTGCAGGCTCATAGTTGGCTTCTGGACAGACTCCTCCTCTAATCTCAGATCGCTCCACCTCCCTCTGTTTAAAGGTCCAGCCAACCTAAGTCACGTCATTCCTTGGCCCCACCTCCAGTTACCTGCATATTGCTGGGCTGCTCTCCACTCTGAAACCAAACAGAGAGGAAAATGAGGCTCAGGGGGCTGAGTCGGTGTCCCTGGCACTGTGAGGGATGCAGGAGGGACACTGTAACACTGAAGAGCCCTTTCCCACCATGACAGCTGGTTTCGGCCCATTTTCCCGAGGATTCAGGATGGAGTAAGGGGCTGGCGTCGGTGCTAGGTTATACCCAAGCTGCATGCAAGCTGAAGTGTGCTCAGGAGGGCGGGACCAGAGCACAGAGCCCAGGACAAGCAGCGCGGGTGTCTGCAGGATGGACAGAAAGCCTCCGCCTGGGACAGGCCAGCTCGGTCCCCAGGAGGCCCCGCTGAGGCTGGCTCCTGTCCTAACGCATCCTCTGGAAACCTGTCTTGCCTCCTTTCTTAGCGGGAGCCATTCAGCCTCAGAAGAGGAACCCCCGCCAGCCAACTAGCACATGAGGTGCCCAAACTCCTTAGTGTTCAGAGGCGTGCACACTGAGAAAACAGCGAGAATCACTGCTCTCTACTGCCTGGCAAGCTTAGCAAGCTGGCTCACAGGGAACGGGGCACGCGGGGCTCCAGGCACTGCCAATGGCGGGACCCCTCTATCCTACTTAGCGACATCCTCCCTGGGCCAGCAATCCCCTTGCTGGGTGTCCATCCCGGAGAAGTCTCCACACAGCCAGCAGGCGGCATGCTTGTGTTGCGTGTGGTGGAGCGGGTTAGAGCAGGCTGGCTGCTGCTTCAGGAGGGCACCAAGGGGAAGCAGGCCAGATGTGCATGTGGCAGCAGGATGGATATTAAAACACCGTGATGGTGAGAAAAGCCAGGAGTAGCATGAGATGTAAAGGTAATTTACATAAACTAAAATGCATGTGCACAAAACAAGTGCACATTTTGCAAGAATGCACAGAATAGAAGGTAGGTTTTAGATTGGTTGCTTTATGGGGGGATGGAGGGAGACACAGGGAGAAATGTTTACGTGTGGGGTAACATGCCCACCCCAGACCCACAGGTCAGTCTTTGAGGGTTGGCACCAGGAGCTTAGGGGATTCTTATTTGCAGCCAGGCTTGGCACCCATGGTTTACAGTATGCCTACACCGCAGGAGACAACATGAAAAACTCGAATATAACCTCTACCAGTGACATAGACTAAGTTATGCTGAGTGAGGCTGTGGCATAAATGGGAGGAGATGTGGTTTGGTTAATCAGAGAGAGTGACTGGGACGCTGAGATGTAAAGTGGACAATGGGGGAGAAATGGACTTCACTCACCAGCCTGGCCTTCAGCCCTTCTCCAGTCTGAAGCAGTTAAGGAAAAACACGGAATTAGAACACCAGGTTCCTGCAGCTTCCCTGCTCACAGGTGGAATCTGCTCCCACTCCGCCCCCTCCCCTTCCTCCTGCCACCCAGGCCCACAGAGCCAGTGGGTTCCAGCCTGGCCATCAGACCTGGTTGGGAGATCAGAACGTACCTGGGTAACCAGATGCTAAAAGGTGGACAAGAAGGAACAGTTCCAAGAGGGGTCACTTACCAAGCTCTGACTGCACCTTCCCTATAAGCAGAACAGAGGACGCATCAGCGTTGGGCTGGCTGGACCATTTCCCAAGGCAGCCAGGCCACTGGGAAGATGTTCCTCAGTCTTAGCCCACCGTTCCCCTCAATCTCATCCCAGTTTCTGCACCCTCCCCTGCAGGATCCCTACACCTGTCCTAGTCTTTGCTCTTAGGGCAGAAATCCCCACCGCGGGAGGGGCGTGGGAGGGGGGGCAGGTCTTGGCACCGAGGAGCCTCTTCCCAGGGCTCAGGTCTGGTTTGAAGAAACTACTGCTCATCCGCCCTGAAATCACTAGATTTCCTGGGTGAGTCCAGCCACGGAGCGCAGCCCGCCTGCGCCTCAGGGCACGTGGTGCATTATTTAAAGGACGGGGAGGACAGCACACTGAGTTGTTTCTCCTGGCCGGATGCCTGGACTGATCATTTGCCACTGGAAATGCATGCCTTTGACCTGTCCGCCCTGTGTCTTTTAAAAGTAAATGCCCTTGAGCAGGGCAGCACTACGCACTCCTGTAGACGATACTATATGCTATACCACTTCCGTGCAAGCTCACGGTGCCACCCTTGCCAGTGGCACGTGCATTAAAAATAGAAGGCTATCCTAGGAACATGAGCCAGAGGGCTACACCTTTAAGTGGAATTGTGAGCGGCAGGGAAGGGGCTGGGAGGGTCTGTCCAGAGGGTCTGAGTGAGGCCGGGCCTCCGGGGCAGCTTTGCTAGAGTCCGTTTGAGAGAGGACGGGGAGGCGCAGAGGGATGGGTTAAGAATGAGATCTTTGCCATCTATCGCCGTCCAAAGGCCGCGCATGGGGTGCGTTACGTGCGCGCGGCACCCAGAACATACCCAGCTCCGCGGTGAGTTTCCCTGGAGAAGAAACGAAGAAAAGAGGAAATCTCCATCAACGAAACGCTGACGCCTCGCTTTCCAAAGTGCACAGACTCGGTCCCCGCGCGCTCTAGGGACCAGGCTGGGCTGGACGCGCT